ATTTAGTGCCGATTTGACGTAATCTGTATTGTGCTCTCGCGTCGTCTGTGTTGGTTGGTTGTCCTGAGAAGTGGTGGCAGTACAAGTCTTCCTATGATCCTGACAAGACTTGCACCAACGTGATATTGCCTGGCGCCAGCATGAGCGCGCCGATGTGAAGTCGGCTAAAAGGAGGTATGACTTTGGGGCGGCGAGTGAAGGAGAGCGGACCAACGAGAAGGTGACAAGTCCTGCCTCAGCCTCGCGCAGAAGTGAACTCTCAAAATGCACCACGAAGGCAGCACTGTCTGAGAGGCTGAGTGAAATCTGGCACCACCGCCAGGTCGGATCGTAAACAGTCCGCCTCGACCAGATGCCGCGCGCGGCACTGTCGTGTGGCGGCGATCAGACGTACCGACAGTTCACGTGTGCCAACCGGTCGACACGGTTGACTGGGTTTCAGTCAACCGTGACGCATGTGCAAGCATCAGGCCGCGGCAGCTCAAGAGACACTCTCCGGATGACGGAGAAAAAATGCAATCAAAATTCAATCAATTGTGAATAAAAAGGAGTAGGACACTTCCACAGAAACACTCACATGGAATACATGACACTTGGTCCGAGTCGAGCATCATGTTGGCCGGGCATGCGCAACGATAGCCGCCGGGCAGGTTCTCGCAGTAGAATTTGCAGCCGTGATCCGGTTGCTGGCATTCGTCAATGTCTGCATCAGAGACGGCCGACATGTGCGTGGCGAAATGGACGAGTAGTAGAAATGGCATGCAAGTAGTATATAAGTAGTAATCTGCAGAAAATAATGCTAAATAAATACTCTTTAAGAGGTGGGACTCGCCAGTAGTCATGTCGAAGTGAGTGAAATAGGGACACAGGCCAGGGAGGCCCGGAGGATAGTGACTGAAGGAGACATTTCATGACTTACAAATGCGGATCGCTCACACTCGCAGTGACTGGGCAATCGTCAAGTCGGTCGGTTGAGCTCGACTGAAGGTCGGCAAAAGGAAGAGCTTTAAAGTTCGTTATTCTGCATGGACGACGACAGAATCCTCTTCGCCGAGCGTCATTCAACATTGCTGAAGTCTTCTCGATAGCGATGTCTCCGAGGTGCCAGTCCTTCGTGTGTCATGCCAATTAACAGAAATTATCATCTCTTCTTGAATCAAATGTAGGATCTTGTGACTTACATTAGATCTGATATAAGATCTGTTTTCATCTCATTTCGTTTAAGGTAATAAAGGATTGGCAGTTGAATTTTCACACAATCTGATGAGGAGGTCCCATGCTTCCACTGAATTGCACATTGCCTTGCCTCTCAAAAGATATTTTTATCTTGACTGGAGTAGACTGTAGTTTCCACTTCATCTGAACAGGTCTCATCAGCACCCCCAGCGGGACTCGAACCGGGGTTCATGGTAGCGCCGCTTATCATATCGACGCCTTAAGCAGTACACCATACTGCCACGACTGCCCTAGGTTCACAGAGAAGGTGTGAATTCCAAGGTGTGAATGTCGATAAGGCAGAGTTATATTTGCCCTGCTCTATATGAGTATACGTTGCTCTACCACATTTCTGGTTCGATTCCCGTTGTGGGTGCTAAGAAGAACAGTTAAGGTGAGGTTGAAACTGCAGTCAACTGTTGTCTGGCTGAAAATACCTTTCGACAAAGCAAGGCCAATTAAAATTTAATGTTAATGTAAAATACAACCATCTCCTGTTATCATCTTAAATATCTCATCTACATGGCCTCGAACGCCTACTTATAAGCGAATAAATAGTATCAATTAATCGAAGGTATGCAGATCAAGATGGTGTGACCTTCTGTGTGGTCGTAGTCTCCTTTCGTTGTGTAGAGGTTGTTTGACCTTATTTTCGCAACATGGTCATATTGTTAGGAAGACTTAGAGAAACACACCTTGTCCGGAGTCCATTGTATGCATCATCATGTTCAAAGTCGGACCGTGGACGGGCTACATTGCCAGACGTTTCTTCGGCTTCGACAATGAGTCTTGCCATTCTTAGCACCACACAGCAACTAGTCAAAGAGACAAGTGAACCCGATCCTTTGACCAAACGTGTGCTAAACAATTGTGGTATCTCCCCTT